AGGGAAAAGGTAGAACTGTATTTCACATATTTAAATTTTCTTAATAAACCATCTTTGTCTTGAGCTAACTATATTAAACTACAATCTCCTATGTGAAATTTATTTCCCACCACCCACTGCGCGCGTCCAGCAGCGATACCGGTTAATCTGGTTGACGTAACGTGAACATCAACCATCAGTTGGAGCAAGAACAAATTCAGAAACCAGTAGTAGATTTGTGCAAAATCCTGAAACCAGGACCAGTTCTGAGACGGGCCAATATATAGAGAACAACAAATGTTTACCACACCATTTTTGACTGCCTAATTGGATAAAACTACGTTATTGGGTAAGACAGTTTCCATTTTTAAAGGAGCCGGTGAATGATCCCATTGAACAGTATCAATTCGGCAAATAAACGGCGCTTTGTTCATTTTGCGATGAACAAGAACCTGCGTTAAAGGTCGAAGGCGCCTGCGTTGGCACTCTATCTTCGCTATAAGCATACCTGCGATGCAAAGATAAGATACGAAGTGTTTATTAATCAGTACATGATAAGAGAGTGGGTGTCGAGTCAATGTAAATTTCTGTGCACGTGACAGAGCAGGGGACGCGGCGTGCGATAACCAGACGAAAGAGAACCTACCGGACGGTGTGCAGGTAGAAAGTCGACGATTTCCACAACTATATATGTTTTGACACAATTTAATGGGATGTATTTTAATGTTTGTTCAATGCCTGCACCTTGTAATAGGTTGGACGTTGTCAAGATCGTAATCATCTCTCGTTTGGTACTTTGCAGGTCGAATGCGAATTGTTGGCGCCAGTTCTGATGTACGTATCGAGTATTTCTGACGTCTTTATGTTTTGTTTTACTACCAGGGATCGGATAAAAGGGATGTGCAAGTCGCGTAACAAGGCAAGAAATCGCGCTATAAAGGCGCGATATGTGAGCGCCAAGCACAGAGTGAACCCCCTGATGACCATGTATGATGCTTCCTGATCGATGTAAGTGATGTCCCGCACATGCAGGTATAAGGAAGTGTTATTGTAGAAGTCTTACAGATGACACAAGTTATGTTCTAAGCCCTTTAATCACTGTAAATGTTAGCAATGAGAGTAAATAAACAAATAATATATAGCAAGCGTAAATAAAGCAACGTGTTGGCAAAGATGTTTTTGTGTTTATCCTATATAAAATCTATGCACAGCATGTGTAATTAAGTATAAAGGCAAAAGATCCACGATGGTGGCATTCATTCTTTGGGGTGTCGAACATCACTGTATCCGTCAAGAATACTGACGCTTGATGTAGACACCTTATCGGGTCACTTCAGTCAATTGACTTTGCTTCGAATTGCTTGTTCTTTTGTCCCATAACAGTCGCATGGCGTCGACATGTTATCTTGTTGTGTCCCTCTTGAAAGCAGTAGCGGTATTTGTAAGAAGCTCCAGATTTCGAATCCCCAGAGCTACCGATACGTCTTTTTTTGTCGTCGTCCAGTTTTTATATAACAATGGTGGATCAATCTTCACTTGTCGTGTTCTGGTGCTGACAACAAATGTAATCGACTTACCCAGAAAAACCTTGCTCAAACGTTTTGACCATATATGCAGGATGGAAAGATGCTGTTATGTCGATTGTAGACCCATTAGCATGCAATACGGCAACAAGGCGTTGGCAAGGCAATCTCATTTGCATAAAAGTTGAACAATAGCAACTTAAAGCCACAACATCAATGCGCCGGTATCTAGCATAGTCTTGTTTCGAGGTAAACCATATAGTGGAGGTCGACCGCACAACTTTATATCCACCTGCAGATGCTAGTTTTTTTTTCAAAGAGACCGCGCACGAGGAGTCACAGTAATTTTCTTTGTTCTCCATTGTTTAATTTGATCTTGACGCATGCAAAAAAAATTAAGAGTCGCCTGTGTTAACATTTTTAATCCTTCGAGAGGCGATGCATCATAAATTCCCTGAACGAGCATGGTGTTATTATTGCTTTCGACAAAGTTAGTGGTGCGCCACCCAAAAAGAGAACATGGTATCATTGGTTAAGCTAGATGGTCTTGGTGATACGTGCATATGGCCGAATTTGTGCTCGACGTCGTGAACTTTCGGACACTTAAATTTTCATCGACAGCTTCCATTTGCATATCCGCAAATACAGTCCAAAAAATGGGATCGATATTCCCGATTTATGTGGCAACATCATCTCCAAACTTTGTTCTTACCTTCGTAAGAGCTGCATTGTATTCGATCTCGAATTCTGCTGCTTGAATTTTTCATACAGCATTCTCGAATTCAGATTCATAACATCCAAAATTCCGTCAGATGTTGCGCAAATTATGCAAAGTACCATTCAAATCTGGAGGCTAATACCTGTCATTGCGTATATTGTCTTTCACGGAATCTTGTATTTTCCCACGATCACTTATTATCGCGACATTCACTAAATTCATTCCAGCATCAATACACTGAACGAAAAACCATGAAATTTTGTCCTTGTTCTCCACATTTACGAAAGCGGTAGCCAACGTAATTGTATGTCCATTTCCGTCTCGACCAATGAGAGATAGTTTCACTGTAACGTAGTAGCCCGTTACATGAAATGTCATTAGAACAATTTGACAATAAAGAATACTACGTCGAATATTCTTTTAACAATATCGCAGACATGGTGATATTGTTGAGATGACCGAATGGTCTACTGATTGGTTGATATCGTGATGATATCAACCCACCAATCGCTGCTAGACGCGCGCAATGGGTGGTGAGTGGACGTCATCATACATTTAGTTATATTGGTATAATTAAGTCAAGACAACAGAAGATTCAAGGAGTTATAGGACCTAATTATATTAATACAGTTTTACTTTTACCAGAGACTAGTCCGACTACTTAGTCTCCTTTCCTTCCTCTGTGTTTCTTCAACACCTAGCAGGGCACTGTCGACCACTGTCGTCAGTGGAAGCATACTCCGTACTGGTCAACCAGTACGTAGTCAATAGTGCCCCGTTACAATCACGCCATTTAATTTGTGATGTCGTGAATGCGTTCCATCGAATCCAACCACCGGAACATTATACTGTTGGCTGCTTACAGACACTCCAAAGGCCACAAACAAGCGGAAAAATCGATTCTCTTGGTCCACTTCGAGCGCCACAGTGCTGGATACGCTTAAGCGCTTTAATTCAATCAAATGTGGAGCTAAAAGCTCAAAAGACAACTTCCACTCGCCTTTCATCGCTTTAATTACCGCTTCTTTGGCTTTGAAAGTCTTGGTTCGATAATTTTGAAGGTTAGATCCGTCACGAACAGGACTAGCGCCACAATTACATTGCGCTTGATGCCATTGTCACCTCGAACCGCAGCACTATAAGTAGGAAAAAGCTTGATTTGACGTGCTGAAGGCTCGGCAGTCGCGAGACACACATCCGAGTGAACATCGACAAGCGTCGAAATGTAGTGATCAGAAGATGCACCCTTCCGTTGTCGCCTCGTCACGCGGACTTCCCACGGGCACTTGACTTGTGGGCACACATTCGTTTTGCTTCCACCACTGCACCTCTTGACCTTGCACTTGTCGATTTTGATTAAAACAGCAGTTCTATATAAACACACTTGCAGCAGCGCCCGTCTGAAAAATGTGTCCCTTCGACAGTACAATGGTACCGTAAATTTCTTCCATGTCGATCTTCGTCATTTTGGGAGAAACCAAGGTGTATTATTTCATGTGTCTACATAATAAACTTGACTAGGACACCGCACATAAAATCATGTGGTCCAAACGAATAAATGTGTGGTCCACACTAAATAAATGCGTGGTCCACATTATGAACTGTGTGGCAAATATTAATAAACTATGTGTACCACATTAAAAAACTGTGTGGTCCACATTTGTTGTACTCTATGTTGGCCCGTCTCAGAACTGGTGCTGGTTTCAGGACTTTTGCACAAATTTACTGCTGGTTTCTGGATTTGCTCGTGGAGCAACCCATCAAAGAAATATTACCCTCGGGGGTAATGTTCCCTCAACCTTACTCCTTCCGGGTAATGTCAATTGAACGGTATCTAAATAGATAATGTTCAAAAATTGATACGACGATATCAATTTTTATGTAACGGGCTCACCCCGTTACAAGACCTCTTTATTGCTCAGCTGCTATAGATACCACCTGGTCATCTACACGAAAAGACGGAGAGCACGACTCACAAAAGATGAACGTCCGTCGATTTCCAATATGGACATGCTGAACATGCAAGCAAGACGTTCGAAGCAGTACTTGCATGAGTCGACTGAGGTAAACAAAGCTCGCCACACTTATCTTCGGTACATCCCGTTGAGCACAACATGTTCCACAGTCGGCGATGTCTGTTTAGTTCGAAAACCCGATCTGTCGAACGGGTGGGCGGTCAAGTCGGTACCTAAATGCTCCGGATTTTCATCCGGTCCGGGAACCTTCTTGGAGTGTCGAAGATCAGATTTTCTGACCGGGTGGATATCTAGAAAGTTCGGGGAGTCTGATGCAAGAGATTGAGAGAGCCTATCGGACGAATCTTCCCGCAGTGTATCCGCACCCTACCCATTCTCGGATAAAGATGCGGCTGCGACCCGGCTCCTCTAAATAGGGCCAACTGGTCCAGACGTCGTCTGCTGGAGCGTGCAAGCAGCCTCCGTCTGCTTCACACGCGTCGTCGTTCCTGTTGACGTGGAATTGATCAGCAAACCCACACGCGTCGAGGAGCGTCGTACCTTCGATGCGCTTGGCAATGTGATGCACGTGCATGAACTTCCTCGCTACTTGTGATCGTCGTCCAGCCGTAGTATGGACGTGCATCTGACCGTGGTCCAGTTATCGTCTGGTCCTTATCTGGATATCGTCGAATGATGAGCAAACTTTGCAGCTGCAACACCGAGCGGGCATCTTCCTGTGCCGCAGATCAACCGTAGAATCTGTTCATTTTCAGTTTTGCGCTCCATTGCCGGACTCCTGTCTGAAACAACTCGAAGGGGGCCATGCGCTCCTTTTGCCTCATTGTGCTCATCGTGAGTGGTGTGATGATCGTCGTGGCTGATCTCGCGTCAGGCCTCGGGGACCCTTCAGCTCCTGGTGCTGACCTAGCTGAACATACGAGTGTGACGGAGGTTCAGAGAACGGCTTCTCACATCTGGAAACCACACGAAGAACGGGCGTTCTACATCGAAAGCCTCACTGCAAAACTGATGAAACTGCTCAAGTCGGTGAAGACCAAGCTTGCCAGCTTATACACCTCTTTTTTCAAGTCAAGTACCACCAAGACTGCAGGCATGGAGCACGATGCTAACGTCATCGCCCGCTACGACCAAGTCGCACCAGCCGTTGACGACCACCGATTCGTCCCGCCAGGCGAATCTCCTATCATACCGGGTAAACCTCGTGTCGCACCAGGCGAACCTGCTATCGGCCCAGGCAAACCTTCTGTCACATCAGGCAAGCCTCTGATCGGACCAGACGAATACTTCACGAAACTAGCGGACAAGCTGCACGACGATCCACGTTTCCACAAGATGTTGGCTGAAGTTCGAGGACATAAGAATTTTCCAGTGGCCAATATGATGTTTGACATGTTTTTAAAGAGCAAGGGTGGAATCGAATCAGAGGCAGCGCAAACCATCCACAAGATGAATCGGGGGACCACTAAATTGTTGAATGAAGATCGCCTGTGCTGGAGAATTCTCAGAGACGCACAGTACAATCGTTGGATATTAGACAAATTGAACCCGGAAGATGTTGAAGCCGTGGTGAAGAAGGATGGTGGCGAGGACGCAAAGGAGATTGCAAGAGAAGTAGCAAATAGCTACAAGAACTATCTTGTATTAATATTAAAAACGCATTTATCCTAAATATACTTCACCTCCCCACACACATGGAGTTTCTCGCTACTTGTTAGCCGAACCACTTGTACGGGCCTCAGGATAGTAACAGAAACGGGAGGAGACATAATTTGTTGCTTTTCTGGTTTGGCTCTTGCTTGCCGTGCTTTGTCCTCTTTCTTTCACTCTTCGCCCTCCATACATGAGATGATCCTCTATCGATCCTGTGCCAAAGTCATCTCACTCTTGCACGTTGTACAAGCCTTTGTGCAAAACCAATTAGACTCCGCTACAGGTGCGCGTTCTCGACCCAATGTTTGCATGCTCGAGAGGCAAAAATGGGCACGATGCTGTCCCCGCACGCATCCAATATAGAAAGTTGGTGAAGCGCGCGTGCTGGACTGGTAAAGCAAATCAGATTTACATGCGCAAGATGCTTGAGCAATGATCGCGTTGTGTTGAGTGAGTGCAAGTGTTCAAGGTTTTCACCGTCGTTCGAAATGAGCATGGTCAAGGTTGCGCCAAGGTTACTTGTCCGACTACGACCACAGAATGCTTCGACATTTACCGACTAAAAACTGTTGTCTAGCAAATGCAACAACTTTCTTGTCTACTTCAGCAAGTAATCGAGAAATGGTTCACAGCGCTAATAGCCCCAACGCCGCTCCCATGTTACAACTCCAGTGACACTAGGTCTCTCCGAGCTTTTATCGACTCACCGTGACGCTAGGTCTCTGATGCATATTCCGAGATACCACACAGCGAAACGCGGCAACCATCATGAATATTGGTGTATGCTATAATGCACAACTATCTGAAAAATTGTAGATCAAACGTCTAGTGAAAGCAACGCAAGGTAACACTTATCCTCGCCTCACGACATCTAGCCATCTTGGGAACCGCATGTTTGTGCGTTCGTTGCGTCGTGCCACCCATGATCATCAGATCGCCATCTCCAACCTGCAACTCAAGTCGCGCTACAGCCTTGTCGTCTTCGGAAACGTTTTTTGGTGTTTTCTTTGTAAACACAAAGCGTCGAGTCGCTCCTAGCGACAAGGCCACGATAGGAGAGCACACCATCATATCACGTTCGTCGTCGGCATGTGGTCCAATGTAGTGGTTCCCGTTCCCGTACCAGTTCACGAGACCTCCAGTGAGCCGTGTCTGCAACGTGGCAGGATCTTTTACAATTCTCTGCATGTGCTCAACAGCGTGTCTTAATCCCCGCGGGTACTTCTCTTGGGCGTCAAATGTTTTGCCAGAGTACCGGTAACTTCCTATTTCCCCGCACAGCTGCTGAAATCGCGGAAGCTTTATCTGTTTGCCAAACATCGTGATAGTATCGTGCTTCTCTGGGTGTGCTGTCCATGCCTGTTGGAACATAGTCGACCACGTCAACGACGACTTTGCCACACCTGCTGAACGAAGCTCCTCGGGCTTGGCGTGCTCAAAGATATGCCAGTACCATCGTGGCACGACATAAACCCAGCTTTTGTGGTCGGATGTGAGATACAAGATCGTCGCGTCTTGGTCGAACATCTTGGAAAGAGCGGGCTTCGGTAGGTGAGCAGCAATAGCAGCGGTCTTGGTGTTGGCCACAACGTTATCTAGCGAGAACTCCTCGAGCTCTGACGACGGAGACGCTCTCACGCGCTTTCTTGTCGGACCATTGCAGTCTTCAGAGGGGTGGGACTGCTTGGATCTGGTAGGCATATCGACAAAGTAAACGCTTCTTTTTGAGACGGTTTTCCTGTAGCTGGGCAAAATTGTTTGTGAGCTCTTCATAGTCAATCGAACTTACGCATTCACAATGTTTTTACGTTAATAACGGCTCCTGGCTACTCTATTCCAACGCATACAAGAACCCATCGCCTGACGGGCAAAATCTCCCAGCGTCTATCTTGCCTGCACATCTCACGCAGTAGCTCACCATCCCTGCTTCTGCTAATAAATACTTTGACCTGCAGCGCGTTGCCGCTCACTCGATCGTAAAACCAGTGATGTCCATCTGTACGATCAGGTTAATGTACTCCGCCAGCACTTCTTTCGAGTTGTAGATTGGCAGATCCAAACGGTTGAAACACGTATGCGCTTTCGGGAACAGGAACGACTGGTCTCTGCCGGCGAAGGCAACATTGAAACGTCTCACGCGACCGTCGCTGCTAATCAATCCCTTGAACCCCTGCGCTGGAACACGACCCGTGCCTGTCGTGAACTGCAACAAGCGAACGCGGTCTTCGTTCTTCAAGTCTTCCACGACTTCCCAGAGCCACTCAATGTTATTAAGCTCAAGTTCCGTGGGGAAGTTGTGTGAATAGAACTTGAAGTCCGTGTGTTTCTTCCAGTCCTCGACGTCGATCGATGGCACTCCGCACATGAGCAACTCCAGCTCCTGGTAGTCGAACACCTTGAGCAAGCCCTCAGGCACCACGTCGTATAGCGCCGTAAGAAACGACAGCAGCTGGCCACTCACGCTTTCCAGCACATGATACTTGAAGAGAGCGTCCAAGTAGCGCAAGCGATTTTCTCGTGTCACGTCGATACTGGCGCCGCCTTCGACGAGTTCTACAATTTCTACACGACCATCCACAACGCGAGTGGCTGTAAAGTCCAGACACAACGGTTCGATGTCATCGATCTTTTTCACCATCAAGGCACTATTGTAGATCTCATCGTCGAGGAATTGCAAGTCGGAAAAGGAGATCGGTACGCCCAGGATATGTTTGAGGAATGGTAGCGCAAGATGCACCGGCATTAAATGCTCCTCGAGAATCGCCTTACCCACGAGCCGACCAGCGAACTCAAAGTAGGCCAAGTGATCATCACCAATCAGCAAGTCCGAGCTCGCGTTGATCCAGTAACTTCGCTCGTCTCCCACTGTGCTCACAAAAAGACCGAATGTCGGATCGAATAGCTCCGCGAAAAGCAGCGTGTACCATTCGCGCATAACGCCACCTGCATCCAATGCCGGCTCTCCGTCAAACACCACGCGCCATCTCTGCCGTAACTGATACGCCTTCATCGCTCCTACAAGTTCAAACGAGTCCTGCAACAAATGATCGCGTCGCACTACCAGCTCTGCATGTCCAGATTCCCAAGGTAGCCACAGCCGATGTATTTCCGTCGAGAACCAGCGGATTTTGTCCGGGAATGGCAAATTGTGAACTCCCTCGAGATTCATAATGAGCTCGGAACTCCCTTTGCCGTCCAGGATTTTAATCCGGTAGTGGAAATCCGTTGCCACGACGTCGCTGTCGTTCAATACCAATCTTCCTAACGAATCTCGCACGCGAATGTACCCCACCGACAAATTGCTGTCTCGGTCCGTCGAATCCAAATACCGATTCAACGACACTCTCCCTCCCGGATCCAGCTCCGTTGACTCCCGTTGTGCAAAAGCACCTGACTGTCGGCGCGCCGATTGCTGTCGAACCCATCGATGCAAGCCGTCGGTAGTCGGCATTCGCTTCCACTGCTGTCGCCGACTTGCTGCGAGCTGCAATTTGCTCATGTTGCTGTTCGACAGGCGCTGGTTCCTTGGGAGCTCAAAGCTGGGACGACTGATTGAGCCGCCAATGGCGTCATCTGCCCGTGCCGACGAAAACGCTTCGGTCTCGCCAATGCGTGTCATTCTCTGCACGGAACCCGCGCTCAAACTGCGTCTCGAGTGGCTCTTATTGTAGCCCGCGACGTCTCGTTCGGCGCCGCATAAGGTCTGGCACAAGTCACACAATTTCCGCTCCGGGTGGTTCAGGAACTTGCACACGCCACAGCGCCACAGCGCTTGCTCCATGAAACTGTCATTGAGCTCCTCGCGATAGACGTCTGTTGTTTCCTGGACAAACACGAGCGACTCGCGCTCCCGCTGGAGCTGAATGCGGCGACAGAAGAAGAGCAGCACGACGATCGTTCCTACAAAGAGCACGACGCTCAAGGCCACGAGCACGGCAAGACCTGCCATCATGTCGACGCTTGCCCGGCGGCCGTGCTACCTGCTGGTTCCAGCGTCGACGTCGCAAGCAAAAGGTCGAAGCGCGCGGGTTGCGGCAGTGTCAGTCGGTCGGTCGGTCGGTCTGTCGGTCGGTCTGTCAGTCTCTCTGTGCTGTGCTCTCTTTGGCTGACAATTCAATGACTGTGTTTTTTGAGTGGGAAGAGCGCCGTGACGGAGCGAGCCGCCTAACCCCCTTGAAGAGTCAGACGATGGAGAGTTTCGAGGAATGTCGTGTGGTCTGATGTGGTGCTACTGCTGCTGACGTTTGCTTTTTGGCTGGAGACGGATGTGAGTCGGGCAGCGGCTGACTACATAAAAGGCGAACTGCGTGAGTCCAGTGGCGCGAGGCAAAGAGCGTTCCGTACGTTCGTGTCCTGTATTGGCGCACGTTCAGTTGCAAATTGTTGTTCCCCCCTCTTGCCGACTGCTGTCGATCGCTCGCTCGCTCACACACACACTCGCAGAAGGAAGTAGCTCCACTTTGGATAGCAGAGACAGTAGTAGTGCCCGGCAGCAAATAGAGCACCACGTGCGGACAGACGACCGAATGAGACGCAGTGCCCGACAACGCGTCGCGATCTTTTGGTTTCCCTCCGTCGAGCGCATCTTTTGAGCACGCGATTTGACTACCGTCCGATCTTGTTGCAGTGGTCGTCGCTTTCGACCGCACACTGGAGGCCACTTGCCCACAGAGCCACACGTGGCAGCTTTCGTTGCGGCAGGCGTGTGGGTCATTCGGGATTGCCGTGGAAGACCGGCGAAAGGGTAGTGACTCAGCGCTGCAGTGGTGACGGAGGAGCTTGTGTCAGGGCCGTGAGGTTTGCCGATGGTCGTCTCGCTGAGCTGCGCAGTCGGTTCATACACACATACTCTCCCTCGCCAGATGATGAGACTGTGAGTGGCCGGTCGATTGCTCGGGTAGAGCCTCGCGGAATACAGCCTCAGCTGTCAGCTGGTACACATACTGCGCGGTTTGCATGCACACACACACAATAAGCGCGACGGCGAACCCCAAGTAGATACCGCCACTGCTGTCGTGTCATTCGTAGCAAAAACAGACAGACCAGCTGCGTGCGCGCTCTATTTGTCCTTCTTACTCTCCTCAGCTTTCTTTTCAGCTGCCTGCTCCTGGTTCAAGTCCGGATCCTCTTCCTCGCTATCGCTCGAATCCGCGGCGTTCATCACCTGCTCAAACAGTGTAGGCTCGTTATCTAATTCCAAGTCCTCGGGATGCGGCTGGTAGACCGGCAACGTAGATGCAGAAGCGACGTTAAACTGCACAACACAAACGACAACATGCACGATCAGCACTCACGGATCTGACATGGACACTGACGTGAAAATCAGAGGAACGAACCTTAGCAACAGCGCGCAAGTCCATGCCGACGTACGAATCACTCTTGACAAATATATCCAGCTGGTAAGTACCAGCCTTGGCCGGGGCTTGTAACTGTAGCTTCTGCTCGGCCACGCGCTCTTGCGATGTCATTTTGGAGAAAGCGTGCAGGTGGTTCATCTTCGTGTCGCCCACCAAGCAGTACCAGCGCTCCATCTTCGGGTACGGGAACCGAGGAGCGTACACCAGATCGCATGTGTCGCCTTCTTTGACATTCTTACGGGTGAGCTTGACAGTCACGGTCATTATGTCGCCTTCCGCAATAAACTCTTCATCGTCCACGCCAATAGAGATCTCCAACTCCATGTTGGGCATCATCTCCAGCACTTTGTTCACTTCAGCACGGTCTTCCTCGGATAGTCCCGCCAGACCTTTGCGCTCCGCCGGCTCCAATGCAATGTATTGGTGCATGCTGCGCACAGCGCTCTTGCCCGTGACAATGTGCTTCACTTCGGCCTCTGTCAAGTGCGGCAGCTGCAGAAACGGCGGGTCCTTGAACCAAAGCCCTTGCGTCAAGAACTGCTGCATTTCCATGAGGTTCAGCGAAGTCTGCAGCCACGCTTTCACGACCGAGATCTCCAGCATACCATCCACCAACTGAATCACTTTCTTCAGCATCGTATTGAGGTCGCTCTGCAGCGTCGGACTAAGCTTCTCGCGCAGAAAGTGCGCATGCAGGAGCAGATTGGCTTTGGCGATTGCAGGGTGGTTGAACTTGGGCTTGGCCATCATGTCCGTCTGCTTGAGGTTTTTCGCCAGTGCCGCGAGTTCGGCCTCGTCCGAGGAGCGTCGCGGGATCTCGCGGAACTCAGCCGAGCCCGCGAGGATCTCCGGCAGCATGCGTGGGTGCGAGTTCTGCGACATGGCAAAGTTGTAAAAGCCGTACGTGTCGTACATGATCATGCTGTCGCCGTACTTCTTCGAGTGCGAGTACCAGAGCGCCACGCAGCTCGGGATCGCCACCACGAGAATGAGCAAGTACAAGAACAGCACGAGGTTGTGGTTGGCCGGGTCCAGCAAAAACGTCGGCAGACCGATCGAGAGCTGCATCGCTTGCCGCCCATCGGGGTTGCCGAATTTCTCGTAATTGGCCTTGGCCACGTCGTCCGTGAGCGCCTCGTAGGCTTTGGCCACCAGCATGAACTTCTGCTCCGCCACGGCGTCGCCCTGATTCTTGTCGGGATGGTACAAGAGACTCATCTTGCGGTACGCGCGCTTGATCTCGCGCTCCGAGACGCCCGCGGAGATCCCGAGGATCGCAAACGGGTCGAACGACTTGATCTCCGAGTCGTCCTTGAGCAGCATCGCCATGCGCACGAGGCCGTACCACACGGCGACGAGCACGAGCAAATTCAAGACGAACGGCATTGAAAAGACATTGCGAAACGCCGTCTTCTCGGCCTGCAGCTGCTTGAGTTTGCGCAGCTCGCGCTCGCAGCGCACGTGGCTCTTGTCGAGCAGGCGGTCCTTGAGGAAGACGCCGTAAAGGATGCGGCGAAGCGACAGGAACGTCACGGGCACCACGTACAGCGCACAGAGCGAGACGGAGAAGTAGTAGAACGCCGAGTTGTCGTACTCTAACATCTCGAACGAGGCGCTGCGAGCGAACGAGTGAGTGAGTGAGTGAGCGGACGGACGGGAGGCGGCCAATTGGCGAATGAGTGGATATGTAGGAAGGGCCCGGCGACACGTGGAGGTAGGGGGCCCAAAACAAGAGCTCCTCGGGACCCGAGGGGACCCTGAATGTGCAACATCGCAGCGATAACGTTGCGGTTTGAGAGGAGCGTGGACCCAAAAGAAGAGAGGTGGTGGCCTAAATTAGGTCGAACGCGGCGACTCCGTTTGTGGCCTTCTCTGCCGCGTGGAATAAAGGTGACAGCAAACGACGCTACGATAGATAGATTTCCTCTTAACGAGCATATGTCTCTCTCTAGATCGTCGACGGTATACAGCTAGTCTTCTACTGCATCCGCCCTTCTCTGTGCCATTCCATCGGTAGAAAAAGTCGGAACACGCCACCGTTGGAAGGTTTTTACAGATAGACGTTGATTGGAAATACGTTAGGAAGTAGATATCTCATCGTGACCACCACGATAAGCCGCGAGTATACCAGCAACGACCAACCAACATCATCTAGGATTCGATCAGCTTTCTATATTGTCATGCTAAAGAGGTGTCGGCTGAATTGCCCACTAAGTATTGGAGCGGTTTGTAAAGAAAGCCTGTGGTGCACGGCACTAATGTCCACACACGCCCTATGCACCGTCGTTCTCGGATTTGTTCACCGTTATGTGCCGCGTGAATCGAGTGATATCAAGAATTGTTTGACGTCAATAACTTGGAAGTCAAGATTACGAAGCCTCTTTGCCAAATCGTGACGATGCCCATGAGATGCAGCTCGCACATTGCACGCAGCGAGCGAGGTCACCGAGTGCTAGGTTCGGGCGAAGACACGATGCTTTATCAAGTCAGTCAACCTTTTTGAATCATCCGGCCATCGACAACGGATGGAGGCGCCAAAGTGCATCTCAGCTTGGCTAGGCTTTTCTTCATGCGTCCTGACGCACAAAGAGAAGTCAACACAAGAAAAGCAAACAGAACACATCCACCAATATCAACGATCTCGTCAGTCACTGTGTGTTGACAGCTAATTATAGTGAAGCAGGCAACGTTCGTCGGAAGATTATGCAAAATTCCATAGGCAGCCCTGTGGGGATGTCTCAAACCAAGAATCAGACCCAGCTCGGAGAAAGGATTCTACCATGCGCGCACATTTTGCGCGATGTTGGTCGCACATGTCGTTTGTCGAATGTTCAAAGCAGTTTGGTGTCCTCTGCTGCGCCAATCTCATTTACGAGAGACAGATGCAGCACAAAGATCAAAACAGTTCTGGAGAGCCGCCTCCGATCGAGAATAACAACGGGAGCTCTCTGTCTGTTACTCACAGTCCGCAACGACTGCTTCTTCAGCCACCGGCGCTCCCTCTAATTTTTCATCGCTTGCCTGCTCCACTGTCTTTGTTTTCATCTCATCGAGACCTCCGTGCACGTCCTGCTTTCCTTCATTCACGACGCTCATTTGGCTCAGCTGGTCTTCTAATTGGGAATACTGCAGTTGAATCTGGCTCAGGCTGTCTTGAACATCGACGTTTTTTGCATCCATTTTCTTGTACATCTGAAATATGGCCTGCTCTGACAAAGCCAGACGGTTCGATAGGAGCGACAGCTTCGCATCAATAACTTGTTTCATTTTCGTCTCCATCTCCCGCTCCATTTGCTGCTGAAAGTCGCTCAAAAGTATCGTCACATCCAATGCAGGTGTTGTGCGACCACCTTGCCGACCCCCATCAATCGTGCTTGCCAGTTCCGCAGCACTGTTATAACATTGACAGTGTTAGACACGTAAAACGATGTTGCTAGACAGAGCGCTTCCGTGCGTTTTTACCTGAGCTCAGCCGTTTGAACCGGCTCCATCGGCACGAAACGGCATCGAAACTCGTGTACGTCCAGTGCATTTTTGTCACCCATCAGCGATACAAACTTGACATGCAAAGCGTGCACACTCTTCAGCACATCGCCGTTTCGATCGCTCTGCTTGAAACGTGGCGACATGGCAAAAAGCGGCGGCTCGGAGCGCTCTGTCGTGCCTCGGAACGTGCCCAAGTACACTTCGCCCAGCTCTTCTTCCCCCATCAAAGTGCGCCGCGTGCCTTCCGCGTAAATCTCTACGTGACGGGCGGAGCATCGAACCTCGAGCTGAAGGTCCGAGCAGCGCAACGGCTGCTGTGTCCAGAGCATTGAGAGCTTGCACGGTACTGAAACGGCGTCTGTAGAGCGCGTGAGATGCAGAGGGAGAGGGACGAGAGACACGGCGCAGTCACTCGCGAGCTGCACGTTGACATCGGCTGAGGCGGTCCACGAGGAGCTCCATGTCACGAATGACATGTTGACTGACTGGCAAAGAAGTGATTGATCGATAGTGAGCGCAAGTGCGACTGGGCAGTGTGGGTGGCGGGTTTGAGGTTGAAATCGTCACATTGGGGACAGGTGCACGTCACGTCAGCACGACATCAGTTATCGGTTTTTTCCCGCGACTGTCGGTCTGGGAATATGCTCGAGCGAACAATGAGTTTCTAATGAGCCTACGTCTTTTCCTGTCAATAGAGCTGTTGTAGCTCCGGTCATTGGCAGTGATTGCGAGCGTTTGGAATGACATATGCGCTTACGCCACTCAACGGAATCGCAAATGGTGGATAGTGTTTTCCTCGGGCACGGTGATACTGTGAATGGCGAGAAACCGAATCCTTCGTAGGCAGAAGAACGTTACGTGGGATCGAGGGAGCAAGAGTTCGAGTAAAGCGGACTTCGGTGATACAAGTGTCAGTTCCGAGGACAGTAGAAGCGTACGTGCAAAAGTGAAAGGATTACGTGTCACGTAATGAAAGGAGACGGTCCGTGTTCTTCGGGTCTGCTCTTCTGTCCATCGTTTGCGGCATTCTCGCATCAATCACGTTATATAAAAACGCTAGTCGACGACCGAAGATTTGACCAAAATCTCATAGCTCACTCTGAACACGCACCTCGAAGAAAAACAAACGTTAATTATGACAAGGATACAGTACGACGATATCTCTTCAATTTGGATTAATCAAAGATGATTGGTACTTGCACTGAAGGTGTGGTGTGTTAGTTGTAATTACATGATGTGGACATACGAATTCCCAGAAGATGTCGTAAAAGCATACCAATTCATTTGTCTGGTTACCGCTCACGAAACAACTCGTGAATGCCACACAGATTCTGCATCGTTTTTCGAACACAGCGTGTCATGCCGACATCTTTGTCCACCTTGGTGCTTGGTCTACATGAACATAGCATCAGCATCTTGCTTCATGGCAAGCTGGATTGGAAATGGCCGAAAATGTCTCGATAGATAGAGTACAGTAGCGCGCGTTTCGGGGCGACTTTGAACTGCCCATCGAGTGATGATGTCCTTGTTAACGTGCATTCTTGTGTTCCCTTGGCGGAATCGTACGTACCACAGCTATGTCATTGATGGAGTGTTTCGTGACACCTCTGAAGTACCAGCGATGCATCCGAAAAAGCGGAAGGACTTCGTGGACAAATCAGACGCGCTGTAAGGCCTGACAGCACATACGATCAACAGACCGTTAGTTGTTTATTCCACCCCGGCAGATTCAAATTCGGGATGCGAGACGCTCGTGTGGTTGTGCCAAGACTGAAAAGCTGACAGTACATTACAATGATGTGTGCGATTCCTACGGCTAAACGTGGCGTCAGCTTTTGCGGCCGGATCCAATCGCAAGCTGGCAGCGGCGCGGCCTGCGCAGGATCACCCGTGTGACTTTTATGCTGCGGCCTTCAGCACTGGGCGGCTTAGCATTGCAGGGCCGCTATGTGATGCGACATGAACGGCTCAGCATCGCAGTGCCGCTACGTGATGCGACTTCAATGTTGTTCGCGTAACTTACTTGTTGACAGTCTGGGTCCTTGAAGTGATGGTGCCGAGTGCAAGCACATACAACTAACTCGGAGCAACCTTTGTGACTATGCACGGTCTCAGATTCAATTACTACCAGCTGTTCCCTCTGGAATGCAGTATTTACCCATCGTGACAGTCATGACCAAGACAAGCGCCTCAGGAGCCAAAACGACTTCTCGACAAAATCAGTCAGCCGTCAACATCAAGGGTTTTACTTCGCCTGTGCACCGGTCAGATGAAGATCCAAAGCTTGCCGTTGCAGCAGAACAAGCTAACACCTGCATTCATTTCCACGGCAATGATTTTACAGCGTCCACACTCACGATATCACTAGCCAGCAGACTGCTTCAGAAATCTCGGCATCCACACATGCTGTTATCGATATGTCGTGTAACACAAGCTCAGCACCCATGCCTCGAAAGAGGCACCTTTCGTGTCCACAGCATCTGGTCTTCCACATGGCGTTGACAGCGAGGCGTTATGAGCATAGCAGCGGCAACACCAACAATTGCGGCTTCGTTGAATGTCAGCGATCGAAACCAAGTGTGCGCTAAATGCGAGGTACCAGTCCCTGAGATCCACTGCTGCTTCGGTCTGACTCAGCAGCTCAACCAGAAGAGCCCTTAGTGCTTAGTCGAGCAAACGCTAGGATCGCTTTCATGTTCGTGGTCCAATGTCTGGTTTGGATACCAAAAAGCTTCTCCTGTTGCTGCCATTTAGATAAGCCTCCTGTCAGTGCTTTCCCCACAGAACGCGCCATCCGATAGTATGGCACGAATCAATTCTGCGGCACCAGAATACCGGGAAATCGTGATGACTCCGGTCGCGTCGTCGCTGGACGAGATCGAGACGGGTAAAAGCGATCGACGACGCACTCATCTGCTTGTGCCGGTGTACAGATAGTGCACGCATCGCTATACCAGATCGGAAGCGCATGCACTCGGCAACTCACATTACGTAACTTGGGCAAAAAATGGCTCAGCGCCAGGCCGCACTTTGCGACGAACGATACCCAAATGTCACACCGCCTTCCAAGACACCAAGTCGAAGCGTACTGTTTCCAGTCTCTTCATCACTGGTGATACTGCGAACGCACGCTTGTGGGCTACCGAGTACAGCTAAGCAAGCACCCCTTTTCTTCCCATAGCTGTCACCAGTCAGCGTAGATTTACCGCTCGCACGAGCTTGACCCGCAAAACAACGACCCGTCGCGTGACGTCGTAGAGATGTCGGGCCGACGACATTATCCATTCCAACTATCATTGTCGTGACAACTTGTGCTGTGAACGATCTCGCGCAGCAACTTACAACGCGACTGATGCGTGAGCTATTGTCGCCGTTGGATCATGAGGTGAGGGTGCCACTGCACCTGCCGCAGGTAACGAAGGAAGCGCTCCAGCGAAAAGCTGGTCAAGCGATAGACCAACGGCGGCGTCATTCTTAATTTCGTGATGGCCGTTTGCACTGCTGTCTAATCGAAGACAATGCAGCGGCATCGTCTCATCAGTTGCCATTTCATCGTCAAGGAGCTGTTGCCAGTCGCTTGAGAACAAATCCCAGTCGTCATAACTGCAGAGCAAGTCTTCTGGACGACTTGCCTGTGAGAGCTCAGGTAGAATATTGCCACTATCAGCGCAGGTGCCTGTGCGTCTTCTTTTTTTCAAGCTCGAAGCATAGCCCACGTGGAGCAGCAGCTCTATTTGCTTGGGCTGTTCAGTGGTTTGTGCAACGGAAGGAAGAACCCCGACGCCACGAACTATGCGGCGTAGACTGGCACATGCCAACCCGACCGCATACACGCGGCAGCAAAGTGCGCATATTTCGGGGTGAGAGTCTGACACAAACGAATAGAACGATGACACGTCGGCGTAGTCACTTGTTGTGTCGGCACCAAACGGAAACTGTCGGAGTTGGTACGCGTTGAGGATTGCTTCGACTTTGGCGCTCGAGATCGGGGCCAGGTCTGCGGGCCCACGTTCGGTCCGGCCCTGATTTTCCTGAAGTCGACAGAACCAGCGCTGGAAGTAATGCTGAAAGTACGATACCACCGCCTTCCAATCGAGTGCACTATTGCTGCTGTTGAGGCGCCCATTGTCCATGTGGAAGTTGAACACGTATGCGAGCACCATCGTTGGCACTTCATAGCGCTGCCACATAGTCTCCAGAAGCTCGCAAAGGCGCTGTGCTACGACCGACGTTTCTTTGTCAATCCTGCTTGATGACGCGCCTATGCTCGCAGGGTGTGCAATGGCCTCATACTGCTGACTCATGCGGCCAAGCTGGTACATTATGTGAGCAAGGGTAAGTCCTTCACGCACAGTGGTCGTGCATTCATCATCATTACCGTCAGCGTGATGGACTTCATCCAGCTTAGACTCCGACTGAAATATTAGACGGAAAGCTTCCCATAACGGAGCGATGAGAACGGCGAGACTCCGTAAAGTTGTCCAGAGTTGGCCATTGCTGCCCAGAACGAGTTCACGTAGTGCCAACGGCACCGAAGTTGAGAATCCGTCCTGTTGACTCAAACATAGCACGGTTATGGCGTCGCTGTAGTGCAAGACCTTGGATAGACAGTTCACGAATGAAAACCAATGACTCTTCGTGGGCAGTGGAATACGTGTGTTGTCCTCGCCAGAAATAGCACGCAGCGATGCTTGCAGCTGTGGGTTGGAGAAATATGCGGCTAGCTCTACGAGCTGCCCCACTGTATCGCGGTACGTATCGTGCGTCAGAAGGCTTCCTGCAAGAGACGCCAGTAACGCAGATGCGCAGGGAATGACCAGCAAAGACCGCCATCGCGTATTGCAACATACTCTCTTTGCAGCGCTTAGTGCTACCGCCGAGTCAGCCACAATTCCAATGACACAAATGTCCTTTTCATTCAAATCAAGCAGGACGTCTTCAATGACGCGTTCAAGCGGAAGCACATGTGGCGAACATGCGGACTTCTCACTGTCAGTATCAGCACACGAACGCCGTACAACATAGCCCCCCACGTCTTCGACTCGCACACAAGCTGCGTCCCCGTTCGAGTTGACGAGTGTGAAAGCAGCCAAATGCTGTCGATCCAAAGTGTGCCAACAGGTAACGCTCAAGGTAAGACCACTCTTGATCGTCGAGTTCAGCATGCCTTCTTTTACCCGTTCAAGCTGTCGTTGAGCTAGTTTTGCAGCCGTATCTTCCAGAAACGCCTGACTGCCAACGGTACTGATCGTATCCTTGCTCTCCAGTTTCACAGGACTGAGCATGTGGAACAACTCTTGAAACTCGCGGTTCGAGAAAGCCGAAAGCGGCATACCCGTGGCCACGGCCGTCTGCAACAGACCCGTCCTCCATCTCGTCATCACATCGTCCCCCTCCTTGTTTGTATCTGATTCCCCATGTCTTTTAATGGACAATACTGCGTCATGTACTACCGAAAACTGATCCGCATCCTGTCCACTGTTTTGTCTCAATTGTGACTTCTCCTCGGCGTCTCCACTGTTTGCCTCACACCCGTCCACGTCACACAATGTCTCTTCTGCCGCCGCTAAATGGTCCACTGTTGCCTCGTCATCTACTGCTATTGCAACGACAGCCGCGTCATCCAAAGCTTCCGACGTCGTTTCCACTGTCTCCAAGAGCAGCGCGTGATCCTTGTGCTCTCTAAGTCGCGCGGCCGAGCTCTTGTGCACGTTCACCGTCTTGTTCGCCTGTTTGGTCTGCTCGCGTCGGGCTGTTGTGCTTTTCTTCACTGACTCTAACACCACTTGAGGCGGACAATTGCCACAATGCTTTAAATGGCGGAGCATGTCCACGGACACGCCGCGCGTCGGCCTCACGTGGTCAAGGCCATGACGGGCCACGCAATACGAGCAGAAGGCGTGGTAGTGGTAGCGGTTCCGCTTCTCGCCGCGGTGGAAATGGACCCACAGTGGATGCACAGGTCGCCCCGTGCGCTTCACAGATGGCGTGGAGATCGGGGTCTGCTCCATAATAGTTGTAATTATTATATACGCATATTAATTGATCATTCCATATGTTGCTGCAATTATGAATATTTTCCTTTAATTGAATACATTGAAAATTTACATTCATGTTATTGAGTATTGCACGATTCACCTACTTTTCAGCGATAGAACTGCATAAACCTGAATAAGAAGATATAGCTACATTTTGATAAAAATTGCAGGACATCTATTGCTAGATTCAAATGTTTTACCACCCGATTATGCAATTAGGTTATAGCTAAATAAAAAGAAAGATTGTAGGAATCAAATCATGCGTATATTGAGGCATTATATATAGGAAATTGCTAAATTCACACCCCTTTTCCTTAGATTCACACCCTTCCTTCAACATCTTATATATACAAGGTACGCAATCGCCGTTGGACAAAGACGAGTACTTTCTCTGCTCGCTATTTAGCTTCCAATAAGTCGAATGACCAGACGGATGGAGTGACGCCTCGTGATTGTGGCATCCATTCATCACGTTTACCTTCCAATTACCCCTTTCTTTGTAGAAATTTCCACTTGAAAGGAACAGGCAATCAATTTTGCGTGAGCTGGTCTGGCGTTGGCGCTCTTTTCCAACCTTTGGTACGTTTACGGCACCTCGAACACATTTAAGGTAGACACGCTTTGCTGCAATCGAACTTTTGATCGTAACAGCATAGCCTTGGCCACGTGCGAACGTCCCCACAGTATCCATAAGTTGCTCCCGACTGGCATACTCAACCTCGGGAGGAGGAAGCATGTTATTGCGTGGTGCCCTATCAGTAAACGCTGGAGGAGCTAGACCACAGGCGTGAGTAGTATCTTATGTATTTCTTACGTATTACTTGCCAATTAATGGCCTAGATTATTGAGTAATACCTTTGTCAGAAATCAAATCTTAAAATGAATAGGGATTCTATATATAAGATTTTGAAGGAAGGGTGTGAATCTAAGGAAAAGGAGTGGGATTTATCGATACCCTCTTTATATAATATTTATGTAAATGATTCCCCGAGACAGTTTGACTGGGTGTGTATCTGTCCCTTTGAATGATTGTGACTGTTCTATCGATTTTTAATTGATGCTCAAATTACTATTTGGATTAATAGTGGAGTTGACTTATTATTTCTTTGGTTGAAATGAATGATTGGGGAAGTTCAATGGATGAGTTGGTGATGTCGAACGGACTTTTGGATAGATAGTGGAATTAGCTTGCGGACTCTATAATTGAAATATATGTTCGTTTGTGTGATGTTATTATTCGTTTGTGGGACCAAATAGTTGTTTTCTCTAAGGCGCCAGTTCAAGGTACTGGTCCGAAAGGGCGTGGGTTCGAATCCACATTGGTCGATCCATTATTTCCTGTATTTACCCAAACCGTTATTGTCCGACTGCTATTGCATCTGCTTTATCGCTGTGCTTCGTCATATAAGAACAATGTACAGACCTCATCATGCTAAAGAAGTAAGGAACACTGTGCAAGCGAGTTCAATGAGAGTTGTCTATATGATGAGCGGCACAAAGGATCTCTCCCAGCTGGGTTCGAACCAGCGACCTTTCTCTCTACTCTCGCCAGGTCCATCAAGCGCCGCGCGCTATAAGTGCCGCTTCATGGACCCTGGCGAGAATAGAGAGAAATGTAGCGAAGGAGAGAAAACCCGACGCATGTGGAAGTTAAGGCCTTTTGGTGGCACGACGGCTCGCGTAACGCGTTCACAATACAATGGTAAAGGTATGCTCAATACTTGATCCAAAAGGTCGAATTGCCAATAAAAAGGGAAAATGATAGTATTAGGAGTTTTATAGGGGGGTGCCGGATAATGACAGCTTTTTTTATACCCAATGTTGTGTGCTGACACAAAAGAGGCCTGTATTAAGGAGGGGTTGATACGTAGCAAAGGATATTTATATGGCATTATGTATGTATAAGTGTGTAGTACCTAGTTAGGGCAGCTACGGAATTAAAGAGGGGTCTCTATATCAGAAGTGCGTACGTATCAAGGGTTAGGTGTGTACCTCTATGTCTCCATATGTATTCAACCAATTCCTGTCTAAGCTCACGAGGTGGTTGGTGATCCGCCAAAGGCGGACGTGAAAGAGCTTGAATCGTGGTGGGAGATAGTAAAGAAGTGATATCAGCTTCATCGGTAATAGAATCCGCGAATGGAGTTGTAGAACCACCTGGTCCAATCAGACTGCTGGCGGCTGATCTGGACTAAGACGGCACGAAACGCGTGGTATCGCCCGAACTAGAGTCCGATTCGGACGATCTTCACCTCCTGATCCCGCACTGGAAGTCGCCGAAGGAGTCAGAGGAGGCAAAGGCGGACTACACGGTAGAATTCGTGAGGACACTGAAGTAGTACATTCCCAGGGCCGCGTTAGAGGACCAACAAGTTCAAAATTGGAGACTTTTAGCCCAGATTGGGTAGGTAAAGTCCCCCTAGACCGCGATATTAGTTAAAAGGTCGACGCTTGGGCGGCGAGTAGCCGATTTGAGCTGGACCCGCGAGCAGGCGATCTGACATTTGAGTGGCAGACGAAAAATGCTATCTGGAGAGAATAGCACCTCCAGACGTCGGCCCGGCAGCTGTCACGGGTTAACAGAAACTTTGCGACACGTCTTTTGGGACTACTATTCGAAGGCGCACGAGTATTAGGGCAAGTTTTTTGGTCACTAGACGGACGCGAGCAATCGACTCCGACCACTCGGCCACCGTGGTCCAGTCTTTTATATAATTGTGGGATCCGTAGTGCTCCAGTGATACCGGCTCTCGTGCGGTGATCGGCTGCTCACGAGATTTCAAGACGATGTCGAGATGGGGGAACGGTCTTGGGAAAGAATTTGATTCCTCATGAGCTCAACCTGCATCACACAATTGTGGTGCGAGCGCAATAACGCCGTGTTTCGAGGCATTCAGTACGCTCCGTCTTAATGTGTCTGGTGCTTCTATACTACAAGCTTAAGTTAATTTAGTGCGTTGGCTAGTGTGGACATGATAGCACCGCTCCCGTGGCTCAAGCAGCTCCTTTACACGCCTATCTTGTAACGGGGCACTGTTGACTACGTACTGGTTGACCAGTACGGAGTATACTTCCACTGACAACAGTGGTCGACAGTGCCCTGCTAGGTGTTGAAGGGAACACAGAGGAAGGAAAGGAGACCAAGTAGTCAGACTAGTCTCTGGTAAAAGTAAAAACTGTATTAATATAATCAAGTCCTATAACTTCTTGAATCTCTGTTGCCCTGACTTAATTGTACTGATGTAACTAAAGGTACGATGACGTCTACTCACCACCCATTGCGCGCGTCTAGCAGTGATTGGTGGGTTGTTATCATCACAATATCAATTAATAAGTAGACCCTTCGGTCATCTCAACAATATCACCTGTCTGTGATATTGTTAAAAGAATATTCGACGCAATATTCTTTATTGTCAAATTGCTTTAATGACAATTTCGTGTAACGGGCTACCCCGTCACATCACTACTCCCTTATCTGATTGTCACCGTGTGACTATCGAAAACTTAATGACCACCCGTTGGACACTAGCGGGACAGGGAGCACTTGTTTGGTCAGACCCATTCACTCCTGACCTTGCCTCGCATAGTTACCATGTCTATGCGAGGTGATTCGAAGACCACACAGCCTGCTGCTGTTCCAGCCTCTGCGGCAGACGTTCCTTCGTCTGCTGCTTGTTCTACGTCTGCAGCAGAAGGTGCTTCAGACGCACGCGGTATCGCACCACGTGCACATGATGACCATGGCAATAAGGTCATCAATTCTGGCGAGTCAGACGTGCCTGACTCGCGAAACGTTCCAGAGGCATCTTGATCACCGGCGGTGCCTCATCGTTCGTCTAGAGCACTGTCGAACGAGCGGACTCGTGAAATGCAACACAGTCTGTTCGGCAGTGATGATGAATTCTATGGTGAAGAATACTATGCCTCACCAGCATCAACTCGTGCTTCCCCGCAAGAGCGTAATGACGATGGCGAGAGCCGTCGTCATTCTGAAAGCCGTGGTACCAAAACAGGTACGACATTGAAGCGTGGTGAGCTCGAGTCGTGGCGCTTGCCCGACCAGCTCATCGATTGCCTGTCTCACGAGACAAGCCAGCACCATCAAATTCCATTATTCGATGCAACTGAGCTTCATGGCTTAAGTCCCAGCGCGAAAAACTTTCGCGGTGAAGAAGATTTTTATCTCTATGCCTTCTTTAGGCATAGACGGTATAATGGCAACAAAAAGCGTGACAAGAACTCGCTTTTGGCATTGTGGAACGCATTCGTCCAAAGTGTCATGCATTTTGGGCGAGAAGGGTGGTTTAAGAAGCTTAAGGCGATACGCATCAAGTTCGAAAAGCGAACGCCAACCGGTGCAAGGTACCGGTTGCATTGTTTGTCAAGTGAGGCAGGCATTCCTTGCCTCACTTGGGGTGATTCTTGTGCGAGCTGAGCTGACAACTCGCAACGTGCATAGAGGGACTGTATTCCCTAAGTTCACCCTGAAGAAGGGCTCACATCTCGAATGAGACGCGGGACGAGATTGCAAACTTGAAATCCGTCTACAAGCGCCAAACGCGCGTGTTTACCGATGGGCCCTCGGACCAATCGGATGAGTCTCGTTATACTGGTGGACGATATCTTTCCATGTCAGCCATCAGCTGGGAACGAGGTTCCCAGCTGTCGAAGGAAGGTGGGTACCCACGCCACCGGACGAGGTAACTCGTCCTTGATTCTGAATCGCCACGGTGGTTCAAGATACGATCTACAACAAAGTGTTGACCACCGTGGGAGTCCACCAGTGGTTCCGGTGGCGGTGGAAAGACAAGGCCCGACTCAGCCGCCGGGCCTGCACGAGACTTTGGGTTACCACGAGCGTTTTATGACCGAACTGAGGGAGGAAGTCGAGCACGAAAACGATCGTCGGCACGCCTTGCAGTTGGACGTGCGACGTCTTCGTGCCGATCGGGAGAAGGACCGATCGTAATCTG